TTAATTTATACAGTCAAATATGCAATGCTGTTTTACATTTCATTACTTTATAAAATTTCTGTACCTGAAAACTAACGTTAGACCTACCTAAAAAAAATTTTTTATTTGTATCTTTACTCTATTGTATTTATTTGTGCTGTTGCTTGTAGTTAGATAGATTATTCTAATTTTATTTATTTTTATTTGACAGTATAGTTTTTGCCTAAACATAGCACATGCTGAACCGTACCGAAACCGTGATACAAACCGAACCGTGAGTAAGTTGAACCGTTCCACCCCTAATATACTGTATACATATATATATAAAATTAATGTATGTGTATATATATATATATATATATATATATAAATAAAAGCAAATTCTAATTATTAATAAATTAATAAAACTATATTCTATATAAAAATAATATATGTATAAAATTAATGTGTATGTGTGTATATATATATATATATATATATATATATAAAATATAAAAATAAAAAAGCTAATTCTAATTATTAATAAATTCTATAATAGTATATAAACAATCCTAAAATAATTTTTTTAGGTCTATTTTTTTTTTACATTAGTCTTTGTCTTTTTGTACAGCTGCAGTTTTTGAGCTCTAAAAACACTCACTCTCTCATCTCTGTTGTTTGCCCGTTTAATTACATGCCATTTTTAAAGTCATTATCCTGATTGCTGTATGCAAATGACTGTAGTGTGACTGGCATAGCAGGACCTGAAAGTCCCCAATGTTTTCTTCCTGGAGACAAAGCAGATGCTTTCATTTCAATTATTTGTATCCCTTTTCCCTCACACAACCCTCCCAGAATGACATATTATTGATGAAATGATGAACTACCACTCTCAGCTTTCTCCTTGACCATAACGGTGACCTCTCCCGAGCGCCGCGCCTCCTCATTGGACTTCTGGGGGAAAGTGAGGGGGCGCAGACATGGGAAGGAGTCCGATCCGACCCCAGTGGTCCCCGGCTGGTATGTAACAGGGCACGGGGTCTGGCAGCTCATCGGCTCCTCGTCTTGGGTACAAACCAGAGAGCCCAATGATGCCTGGTGGTACTTGGTTTCCATAGAGACGGTGGAGGGTGCGAATGTGGCCAGTGTAGCGTTGATGTTCATACGGTGTCCCGTGTGGCTAAAAACAGGAGAAAAATAGTGAGATTTATGTGCACAGGAGATGAATCTCATTACCATCAGCCGTGAGCGCACAGAAACGCATGATGAGATGCAAACTCACACTCCAGAACATGGTGTCATTGGCATACACATCATATCCCTCACACTTCAGCATCCCAGAGCTATATTTTCACACAAAACCACTCATCTGCTTTGTTAGAAGATAATTTTTTTCATAGCAATGGTTTGTTCTTTAATGCACGTGCTTGTTTATTTTAACCATGTAGGTCATGAAACTACGGTGGCCGAGAAGTGCAAAACAAATCACAATTCTGAAAACAAAA